GACGCGTAAATAATTCCGTTTTGAATGTTGAGTGAAGTTTCTCTTTTTTTAGCCACCCCTGTATATTTATTATTATTACTATTATTATTATTATTATCGAGCTTCTACTGTTGTTTTTGTTTCTGTGCAGAACATTGCTACACTTGCGAAAGATTGTAACCAAGGTTTCTGGGGATTACATTTTTATAATTTATAGACAATGTATAGGAACGGCAATTCACGAGCAAGAACATGAGCGGAGGTTGCGTCAATTGACTGCGATTCAATTTACTCATGGTTACCCTGGACAGCGATGAATAGAGTTCGAAATGAGTTTTTACTCCACAACTTTAAGGTATTTTCCATGTGTAGTATTAAGTAATACTCAACAGGGTATACACATTTGGTTACTCTGAAAACAGCTGACCAAGCCACAGTTTACTTTCTTCAGGGATTTCAGCAGTTGCGACTCTGTTAGCCTAGGTATCTATCTTTCGTCCATTGCTTGGAGGGACCCTTTGTGTCTTCTAGTTCAGTGAACGATAAATACGAGATGTTCCTTTGTATATTACATCATGCCAAAGATATGTTTGTTCCTGTCAAGCGAGTTTCCACATCCAAATCCTACCTCCCCTCCTATCTTCGAAATATGATTGGTCATCGGAGTCGTTCTATCTGCGAAGAATTCTCGATCAGCGGATGACTAGAAAACATTTCTTTCTTCCTCTCGAAAGTTTGACCACGTGCTAAAAAACAACAGAAAAAATCTTGAAAGAGAAGACTATCAGCTGCGGAGATAAGAGCGGTTTTTCCAAAATACAAGAAACTTAAATCTACTCAAAAATCCCCTGCTTGGAAAAAGATGGTGTGGTTCTAGTCTCGGATCAGTATTAAGAAGACATATTTTTGGTGTGAGGTGAGGTGTTAACGGACGATGCTTTACCAGCTTTTACTCCCTCAATTGCTAGTCCAATCCGTAGATTCACAGTTTGACAATCTATGCTCTCTTGGAGGAGCTGCCTAATTCTTTCTCACTTACTCGGATTTTATTCCTTCTATGTTTGTCAAGAACATAGCGCATGTTTTAGCAGAACCGCTGGCTCATTTATTCAACCAGGCGCTATGTTTTACGGAAGTCCCTTTAAGATGGAAGCACTTCTTTGATACACCGTTATTGGAGAAGAAGTCAACGTACTGACAATTGCAGGCCTGTAAGTATTAGTTCCTTTTCTGTCGTATAACCGTCACCCACTGGAACTGATAAAAATAAGCACTGCGTTGGCTCGAATCAAGACAGACTCTCTCCATTCTACCCCTCAGAGCATCCCTAGACGGCTCTCATTTTGGGTTGGTAACCTCAACGGATGGTGGACCTCGAAGCTATGTACTTATATGTGCGTTCTTCTCCAAGGTTTCACTTCCAGAAAAATAGCGAGAAAGACTGAAGAGAAAGAAGGTGGGTGTACGGAGGAGAGAGAAAGTGGTAGAAATGGTAGAAATGCCCAAATGGCACATCACTTCAAAATTTTGAACTTTTCCGGATTCCAAGCTGCTTAGTTTGTCGACGGAGAGAATGGTGAAAGATGGGAAGAAGGTCTAGGGTGAGAGAGAAGAAGTCATGTGCAACAAGGAAGATAGAACTACTGAAAGGAAGTGAGTACAACAAATTTCGTGAGCACCGGGAAAACACAGGGAAGCCAAAAAACGTCACTGCAACTGGCGTACATCACCAAACTTTTCATCGCAGAAGATACCGCCATTGATGGAAGTTTCATGGCGGCACATTTCTTAAACACATTGACGACAACGCGAGTTTTGGCTTTTTTGGCCACGTGGGACCGCGGCGATTTTGCGGGCGCGCTCGCCTCAGGTCGTTCAAGCAGATTTTGAGTGATAAATACACAACTAATGATCAATTCAAAACCAAATCAGTAAATTGTAATGAGCAACCTACCAGGGGTACAGTAGTGGAATTTCGATCGAAAGACATGGAATAACAATGAAAAAGCGAAATTTTTCAGAACTAGCTGCAATGGACCTCAAAAGCAATTTACGTTGATTATTCCAATCAAAACACACATGTTGTCATCCCTAAGGTTCCTTATCTACTTCTACTACTATTTAAATCTTCACATTAATAAAAAGAAAAAGTAAACGAAAAATTTATTGAAATGAAGATTTCGTATGGTTCAGAAATCCTCCTCTAAATTAAAGTATACGTGACCATTCTAAGGGCCACTATGTTTGTAGCTACGTCAAGGTCTCTTCCATGGAATGAATACAAGAAACTTCTAAAAGAATCAGGCGTGCGCGAAAAAAATGAGTGTAATGGGTGCGGGGGATATATATCCCGCACGGTCCGACATGGCCTGCAATGCGCGGGATATATATCCCCCGCGTTGTCGTCAATGTGTTAAGGAACATATTAGGGAGCATATGGATAAAAATGGGATTATGCCAGCCAATCAACATCGGTTTGTTCCTGGTAGGTCGGTGGAAAATTCTCTTGGCATGTATCGATGATTGGAGTGATTATTTTTAGGCAAAAAAGCTTGTGATGTTTCGGCTCTGTTTCGATTTTTCCAAGGTTTCCGATAAAGAGGACCACTCTAAGCTCCTACTGACGCTGGTCCAGCTCAAATTTCATCCCATAATCTGTTCATGAATTGAAGAATTTTTGCTTCAGAAAGCGTTTCAGGTTAGAATTGGTTCAGTCTTTTCTAAGGCTAAGAAGGTTGGAGGTGGGGTTCCTTAAGGTGGAGTTTTATCACCCATTCTGTTTGCTATTTGCACTGCTGGTCTGCCCAACCTTTTGGGAGGATGTGGCCTCATTTGCAAACAGTTTGTACACCACATCATCGTCGAGGTATAGGGAAATAGAGAGTATTGAGGACATAAGGAGTATTCAGAGTTTTTAGTATTTTATCTCGCAGTGGTCTGACAATGCGTCATGGAGGCTACGTCTAGCTCTTGAAAAAACCGTGTTTACGAGAATTAGTGGCTCTATGTTGTTTGGAGCCAAGACGTGGAGAGCATGTTCTATAATGAAGTCTCCTCCGTGAAGGATACTGGATTCCATTATGACAACAAGCTCAGCTTTTTTGATCACTACGAGGCCATCTACTCTTCGAACGTACCAAATTTGTAAGGGCTTGATAGTTGCGATAAAGAACTTTGGATCAGGGCACACAAAGCGAATGTGATGCCATTTCAGATCTTAGTGCGTCGGGTTTTTGCTTTTGTGAGAAAAAAGACAAGGAGTTAATGGAAAAAATTAGAATAACTACACCTGCAAAATATATGTTAATTCGAGACAGGCAGCATTCTCTAGCGTGCCTCGCTCGGCCCCGAGGTATCAAAGTTTTGGACTACATAGCTTGAAATCACGTAGGAAGCTATGTGATGTTTGCATGGTTTTTAGGATATTAAGTGTGATTTCCAAATATTGATACGTCTGAGTTCCTCAGTAAAACTAAATTTAACCAAGGGCGGTTCTGCGAAAATTTCATACGCAACGCTTTAAATCGATTCGAAGTTCCACAGCTTAATCTCTCTCAAATCAAAAGTTGCACTACTCTCTATGCTTTTATGCACTTTAAACGCCCTGCGAAGAAGAATTGTTGAGTTTTACTTAGGTCTATGAGGTTCTAGTACAGCGTACTATTGATTTGTTTTCTCACGTCTACCTGATGTAGCGTATGAATAAATAAATAAATAAAAAAGAATAATGGAATGGTGACTCATAAAACTAAAAACTATTTTTTGAAAGCCGAATGCATGCTTCGCACTCACACTCAAAATCTCTAATTCTGTTCCGTTGCCGCTGATTCAACGCTATACACTTTACTTACGGGAAATAATACTGCAAAACTTTATTTCCAAACCAAAAAGACAATCGATAGATCATAGGAGTGAAGGAGGATTTCGAGGAGGTAATTCGCAGAGCAGACCTCCGCATGTGGATCCCTTCACTTTACACACTTTGGGAGTTTTCTCACAGCCGGTTCCATCTCCTTTCTGGTAGAGCATGGCGCCTTTAGGGACACTGAAATAGAGATGTTTCAAGTAATAGACTGTAGTAGTTTTTGATGTGTCGCTTACTTTTTGTTGTAGATACAAACTATCGCTGCCTCAACGACAAAATTATTCTCGTCAACACACTGTTCATAATTGCAGCCAACTTCGTAGATATCCTGGTATGCCATCTGAAATGCTGTTTTACTTCTATTCCAAAGACAGGAAAAAATTCGAATAAATGTTTTACATTTGCGAACGTGTACACACGATCATCTTTGAAGGCTCGCTTCACGTCATAATATTCAGCTGGCATAGTCCATTGATACATTGCATCCTTGATGACTTTATGTTTTCCCGCTTCGTAAACGTAGTCTCCATCATAGGCACTGGAATACATTCAAACATTAGAAAAATAAGTTGCTTGTTGAATTACGACCCATGCTCATTTACTTACTAGTACGCGTTCTGTCCCAGGTTCAACTTCTCATTGATGGAATGAGAACAGTTCCTAGTTAACTTATATGCCTTTTCTTCAAGATCACAATTCCACCTCTGCAAGAGAATGAATTGCGTGCAATAATCTGCCTTCTTAACTGAAACCTGGGCACCTAGGTCTGCAGTAATCATAAATTGCCTCGTTTTGTGCTGCAATCTATCACATAAAAGTAGATGGTCAAATTAGACTTGCAAGCCATTAGTCAGGTGCCTTGTGTAGAACTGGGAATTGGGTTTAAGTGCAGTTTTGGCAAGTGCAGTTTTGGCCTTTCAGCCTTTCAAGTGAATATCTTTGAACAAATTTGAGTTGAATTTGTTTAACACAGAGGCTCCAAAAGTTTCATTTACAAAAGTTTCACAAGCTTCTCCGTGTTAAACAAATTTAGGTCCTGATGGCTCCGGGATAGCACAATACTGAAAGTTTTGAGTTGGTCAGTTAAAAGCCTGGGAATGGGTTCTCAAACGGAGGAATGTCTGCCCTCTTTACAGTGCCCCCGATGCCAACTTCTTGGAAAGCCTTTTGACTGCCTTCCTGAATTTTGAACTAACCATCTTGTACAAATTTCTTGCAGGTGGTAGATATCTTCCTTGATAACCAGGTGACGTTCCCTCGGCAATCATACTTCTGAAACCATTGTGGAATTCCAGGATTTTGTATCGTGTCGTATCGTCCATGAAATCACCATGGTTTTTGCAAAATTCTAAAATTGTTGGGAACAATTTCCTTCGAACTCCTGTTGGGCTACGTATCAAACTTCCATCCTTTGAACACTACATATCCTTTGCGTGCGAAATGCGTGTCGGTCCGCATCCTGAGGGGATTGTTCTGTCTTTCTACTACATGAGAAGATTTCCCTTCCCGACCTTATAATGTGTTCTTCCATTGTATCCATAAAGCTCCGGCGATTCTATCGACATGTCGACGGACTTATTTTGCCAAAACGGTCACACAGAAATTGTACCAAGCGATTCCCGGTGGAGAAAACGCTTTTCAGCAACGGGCACGGTGACTTTTGCCGCATTTTCCTGCTGCTCTTGCTTACGCATCTGTCAGATGTGTAACGTTGGGTGGGCTCAAATATTCACAGCTGCGAGTATAGTGACAACGCCCTCCTCAAGTGAACATTGCGCTTGTCAACATAGCCTATGTATAATAAAGGAAGCGTAAGACGTACGTGAGTCTGGGGCGTTCCGGAATCCAATGCATGAACCGTAAAGGTTGAGCAAGAAGATGAAAAGCTGAAAAGTGCTGAGTAACAGAAAACGAGTGTACTCCTTATGGCACAGTTCCATAAGACAGTTTCGAACTTACCGTAAGCATTTTTGAAGTTTAGTGTCTGCCACGATACCATCATGCCGCCCGAATTCGGCTTTTATACTTACGCTAAACTTACGAAATTTGTGGTTGCATTTAACCAAATAAAAAATGTCACGTCCTCACAGTGCCCGTGACAAAGAGCACCTGCCGTGAAAATCGCGAACAGAAAAAGGTCATTCTACGGACCACATGTCAACAAGCCCTGAATTTGACAAAATAGCTCACGCACCATTTTTCTTACCTCCAACCTTTGCTAAGTAATAGAATAGTTCTATTGAACACAAACCGTGTCTGGATTTCTTTACTTTCAAACAATGAGCTTATTTTGAAATGACTCTCGCAGAGATTTGTGAAAAGTACCAAGTGCTATTGTTTCATCTGCCAGCCATCCTTTCATGGAAATGATAGATGGCCCAATTTAGTTTGAGCTTTGAATATGGCATGCTGTGATGCACAATCTCTATTCTTTCGATATAGGCAAAAGCATTTGCCGTAGTGCACTTGTGTCAATAGAATCCACTATGAATTATTTGAACTGTGAAACAATAGCACTTGGTACTTTTCACAAATCTCTGCGAGAGTCATTTCAAAAAAAGCTCATTTTTCAAAAGTAAAGAAATCCAGACACGGTTTGTGTTCAATAGAACTAGTCTATTGCTTAGCAAAGGTTGGAGGTAAGACAAATGGTGCGTGAGCTATTTTGTCAAATTCAGGGCTTGTTGACATGTGGTCAGTAGAATGACTTTTTTCAGTTCATAGCGATTTTCACGGCAGGTGCTCTTTGTCACGGGCACTGTGAGGACGTGACATTTTTTCTTTGGTTAAGTACAACCACAAATTTTGTAAGTTCAACGTAAGTATAAAAGCCGAATTCGGGCGGCATGATGGTATCGTGGCAGACGCTAAACTT